GGGGGGGGGGGGGGGGGGGGGGGGGAGGGGGGGGGGGGGGGGGGGGGGGGGGGGGGAGGGGGGAGAGAGAGAGATGGGGTGCATTCTTGAAATTAAATTGTTGCATCAATTTTAATGAGAAGTTAAGATATAGAAAACATTTCACTTGAAAGGGGAAAAAAAACCCAGACCTATACAACTTTATAATTGTTCTTAAATGTAAAGTAAACATTTGAAAGGCACTGTTGCTGAGTAGCATAGCAACATTTTTTTTTTATCAGACATGTTACCAACATTCCCTGATCCCATTCCCCCTATCTGGACTTGATGTCTCTAAAAACTAATACCCTTAAAGTCAGGTTGTTAACAGTATCAATTGAAACTACCAATTTAACCCAGGCCAAATATTTTAAATATGAATTTTATATTCAAATTTCTTTGATCATTATCTGAGTTGATGTGTAAAAAAAATGTCCATGGATATTCTATGTGCAAAAAAACCTTTCGTGGATATTCTATCGTACAAAAATGTTCGTGGATATTATATGTGTACAAAAATGCTCGCGGATATTCTATGTGTACAAAACTGCTCGTGGATATTCTATTGTGTAGCAAACTGCTCATGGATATTCTATGTGTACAAAACCGTTCGTGGATAGTCTATGTGTACAAAACTGTCTTGATATTCTATGTGTACAAAACTGCTCGTGGATATTCTATGAGTACAAAACTCTCTTGAAATTCAATGTGTACAAAACTGCTGGTGGTTAGTCTTTGTCTGTGTACAAATTGTTTGTATTTGGTTTTTGTTTTATTTGGAGAAGAACAAAAAGAGGGGTGGGGGGGATGTCGTTAATTCTAAACAAGAAAATCAGCTCTTGGCCCCTGACACTCCACACTGCTATATAAGGTCGTCTTCTCACCTCGTCCCAGGTCAGGAAAAAGCAAGACTTCGATCAGTCTCGGTGGCGTCACAGGTAAGTCCTTTCAACTCTGGGCTTTCATGGACATTGTTATAGAAGAATGAAGACGGCTTTAACTAAATTGATTTTACGTAACCTGTAAGACGGTAGTCGAGCGTTCTCCAGGGGCAGTAGTAATGTTCGGGATTTCAACAGAAAATATAAAAAGAAAAACCGACCTGTAACTATAACGCTGTCGTGGCAGTGGCATGGGCTCCAGAAGTTTCACCTATTTCTGGCACGAGATTTTCGTCTCCGATGTGCGTGAGAAACAAGAGAATTTAATATTTTTAACTTCATTTTGGAGATGAAATCCCGTTCAATAATTTGAATATAAATGGTCGCGTCTGGGCTTGGTGGTGGCGGCATTAGGCGCATTCAGTAAATAAGGTCAGATTTTTAAAATACTTTGAGCTTCGCTTTTGTTCGTGTGTTTCTGGAAGAAAAAAAAATCAGAAGGCTAAACGACCCACTTCCCGTCATCCTATCGAGATCAAACATGGCACATACACGCCTTGCTGGTGACATCACACTCTGTTAAATTTTCAGCCCCACTCCCGACCCCTTAAATCAGATTTTCAAAGTTTTTTTTAGGAGGGGGAGGGGTGTGAAATGTTAAAGCTTTGTTAAGTGGATGCAGGTTTTAGTGTAGAGATTAAATGTGCAGCTGTTGTTATTTGCTTTGTATTTGTGGCGTACTTGGGTAAGCAGTAAACAAAAAATGTATTTTTGAAGGGAAAATATAAAGGAAATATGAATTTTGTTTTCGCCAGAGCTTGACCCATTTCCATACCCGCTCCTTAATAAAGGCTAAATCACGTGCAAATACGTAAATGCAAACAAAGATGCATATTAAGGATTTATACGAAAAAAAAAAACTTTTTGAGGGTTCGACTCTCGTTTAGCTGTAAAAGGGACATTTGCTATGTGCACCGATGCTCTGCGGTGCATAAGTAGTGGCAGGGGTAGTTCACTTAATGTGACTGTAAAACCCAGAATAAAAGCGATCCCCGCTTTTAAGGTCATCCTCTTTTAATCGATCCTTTTATTGCGTTGTCTCGTGGAACGGTTGTATGTTATAGTCTCTACAGTATTCAATATATATATATATATATATATATATATATATATATATATATATATATAATCTTTTTTTTTTTATTAATTAAATTCAGATATTTCAATCGTGAATCCTTATTGATATAGGCTTGATAAGAGAACCATTATTCAAACTTAAACCTAAAAAAAAAATGACGAACTTAAGCAAAGCTTCGGAAATTTAATTTTAAAAAAGTGCCATCTGTAAACGGTTTATAGAAAGCTGAGGATTAAAAGTAAATTGATTTGTGAAAACCATAAGCGTAGCTATGGCAACTGGGCTCTCGGTGTTATGGGCTAGAGAGTAAGGAAAGATGACTGAAGGCATCATTTTAAATAATGAATGTTTGTACTTATTTAAAAATAAATTAATGTATGTAGTCGCTGTGAATATTAAAAGTGTGTTTAAAAATATCTGGAAGAATTATCCTAATCATTATAACAAAAAATGTATAAAATAAGATAATCTTATTCTTTTTTAAACATCCGTGTAGCGCAAGGAAAAAAAAAGGGGGGGGGGAACACTTTTTGTACAGAGAACCGCATAGAAGTAAATACTTTTTGGGGGCGGGTCACTTCTTGTTGTTTTTTCGTTCTAATTTTTTATTTTAAAAAAATATTATTTTTTTTTGTAATGATCAATTTTATTGTTTGCAAATTGAAAATGGATTTTGAAATATACAGCTCCCAGTTCATTTCGAAAATAAGCAGCGGAATATTCGTTTTTTTTTAAAGTTTGCTCATACTATAATTACCGTATTTATAAGCGTAGAACACGCACTTTTTCTCCCTGAAAATAGCGGACAAGTGATGTGTGCGTGTTAGACGCCGATAAAATGCTTAGTTTTTTTACCTGAAATTTGCTTCTTAAATTGAAGTGCGTATTATACACCGGGGCGTGTTATAAGCCAATAAATACGGTATATAGTTTGACAATTTTATGATGTGATATGAATTTTTTTTATTTTTTTTTATCGCTAATCATTTAAAATGTGTAATTTTTACGAAACAATTAATCAAGTTCCGATGACATCCTCCCGGTCGCAACAAACGGTTTCGGATGGTGTCATGTGACCCACCGGGTCGCAGGTTGCCATCCCTGGTGTGACGTCTCAGTTAGTCGCTAAAAATCGATATCCTGTTTCGACAGCTGTCAGTTTTGAAGAGTTCCGCCCCCCTGAGCCCCGCGCGATTAAGGAAGTCTCGCGAAGTGGACATCTGTTAGGTTCAGATCTGAGACGCAGGAGACTTCTACGGCCCAACAGTGTAGCACCAACAGTGCAGCATCGACAGTGTAGCGCCAACAGTGCAGCACCAACAGCGCAGCCCCAACAGTGCAGCCCCAGCAGTGCAGCACCAACAGTGCAGCACCAACAGTGCAGCCCCAGCAGTGCAGCCCCAACAGTCCAGCATCAACAGTGTAGCCCCAAGTGTCACCCCACCAGTTAAGGCTCAAGCCATGAAGTGCTCAATGTGGACAGTGGTGTGTGTTCTCGTGGCCATCGCCAGCCAAGCTGATCTCATCGGCGCAGCTCCGAGTCTAGGTAGGTGTTGGAGACTAGGGGCCTCTCGGCCTCTGGTTTCGTTCAGTGTCGCGGACATCTGAATTCTTGATGCTCAATCCTTTATTAAACCGTTGATTAATCCTGTCAGTGTGCAGCCATGACCAATAGCAACAATTATATGTCGTCTAAAGACATACAAATCTATGTGTTCTTACGATCATAAACCAATACACACATACTGTAATTTTACTGAGTATTTAAAACAGGGACTTGCTTAAACAATCCTTACCTGCTGTAAATATGTCGAGTATTTCAAAGAGAAACTTGCTTACGCAATCCTTACTTACATTGAGTACATCAAACAGGTACTTGCTCACCGAATGACAACGGGAGAAGCTACTACCAAAAGGCAGATAACCTCTGTTACAACATCTATTGCGACAATGGCCTCGAACAGCTGGGAAATGATCACAGTAAGTTTGGCCGTTCATATAAGAAATTTTTTTTTAAACATTCTAATATTAAACATTATAAATGACAAGCTAAGAGCACCTTTCCCATTCTCCTTGAATCTGTGTGGCGCTGTTGAAGGCGTTTAGCCAAAACGTTACTTTGGTTGTCTTGTTTTTTCTTTTAAGCTGTCACACACTGGCGTAGCAAGGGTGGGGCATTTGGGACTGTCCGTCCCGAGCGTCACTTTTTTTTTTTCCTTTAATGTGAAGGGTGACATTTTCGGCCAAAGGCATAATTTTTTTTGGGGTGGCGGCGGGAAAATTCTATTCACGCCCCTGGTGGCGCCAATCCCTGCTACGCCACGTCTTCGTGTTCTTACTGTTTCATTCACACGGCTTGAATGTAGTCCTCAACATATTACCCTTTATAAGAAAAAAACACAAATGTGAAGCCCATATATTTTCTATATCTGTATTTCTGATTTGTGGGTTCCATAAAACATATTGAGGTGGTATAAAGCACTTCACCTGGAAAACACGTTTAAGTATAGGTGAAGTATAGGTGAGAATATCAAAACCTCTTTTCATTGTGTCAAAATTCTTGCCATTCGGATGCCATTATTGCCAACCAAAATCTTTATGTCTGTGCTGCCTCCTCCATTTTAGGATGTCTGAGCGACAACACGTGTTTTCCCATCGGCACCTCGGTAAACCTCAACAACTGCGTCATCAAAACATGCCAAAGAACAGGAAATGTTATTGGATTTTCATTTACCAAAAAAGGTGAATCTGAAGTTAAAATGTAGCGAAACCAATTATTTGTCTTTATTTCCAATAATATCTTTCTTTTTTCTTTTTTTTTAAAGCCCATGTGGGATTTCACACAAAACGCGCAAAATAAACTTCCCGAAAAGATCTATTTGAAGTTAGAGCTTCCACAACGGCTTAAGACTCTCTGAACTGAAAAGCTTCACTTTGTATAAACGATTGGTTTTGTAAGACTATATACTATATGATTTAAATGACGCTGTAGAAAAGTATCAAGAGAAATAATCACAAAGGTTAATCGTGAACAGGAACGGGCGAATTCGTGCAATCGTTACGTCATATCCAGTGGGAGAAGTAACCCTAGTTTTTAACTGTCATCTTCTCCCAGAACCGATATAGAATGTTGCGCTATAGAACGTTGCGCTATAGAATGTTGCGCTATAGAATGTTGAGGGTAATATTACTGTAGGTAAACTTGTTCATACGTTTTGAATAAACTGACCACGCAAAAAAGGAAAGGAAAAAAACATGGTTGACGGTTCCATGAACTTGTATTTTGCAGCATGTCCATTTCAAAATGAGTGCTTGCTGCCAGGCACCGTGAAGACAAGCGGCTGTATGAAGTACCAATGCGTTGACAAGTCCAGATCGGAGTATAGCTTGGCCTTGTCCCTTCAATCAGTTGATGTTGGTAAGTACCCCTCACCCCACCCACCCACCCAAAATCATATCGGCCTCAAAAAGACAAATAGAATAGTAATATAAATCTAACCCAGTGGTTCTCAGCCATTGTAGTGCCGCGACCCCTTTATAATATTTGCCAAAACGTGGCGAACCACAACTAGAAATATACCTTCAAATTGAGAATCAGGTGTTGAGAAGGAGAGGGGTTAAAGTTTTTTTGTACAATTATGGCTGTTGGTACTTTAAATTCGATGGGGTTTTGGGGGGAAAGCAGAAATGAGGGGCTAAAGAGGGTGGAGGGTTCTGAAAAGGGGGCGCTGTATACGTCAATTACCAACAATTTTTTGGATAAATTCACACAACTCGCGTTTTTTTTTTTATGGATAAAAACTGATACATTTTTAGAGTGATCCCCTTTGTGAAGTTTTTGGTAAATTTTTCGTGTATAATTATAATTTCGAAATTTCGCAACTCAATCAGCAATGGGTTAAAAGCAGAGTATAACAAACCAAAAAAAAAAACCTAGGTTGCGGACGTCGGCAAGATCCTTCACAACCCCCCCCTCCCACTTGTCCGCATTTGTCCGACTTTGAACTAACCCCGCTCCCCTGTCTCTGCGGATTTCCTTGATGGACGAGCCCTCAGTCCGACTGAAGTTGTTAGACAAAATTTCTAATGAGACTCTTTGGTCCATACTAAAAATTGGCTCTTTGGCCTAAGTCTGTAGGTTCATGGAAATCAGGAAGGTTACTGATTACTGAAGTAGCCCACAATACTAGGTTTCACATACTATAATACACAATTCATACAATTGGTCAGTACTATTTGTAATTGAGCTGGTATTGTAGCAAGCTTTTGAGAAGTTAAATTATCAACTGTTGCCATGGTGCCGCAGGTTGTGTTGACAAGCATGGCGGATGTCATCCACTTGGAACAACAATTTCAGACAGTCCTTGTATTGAGCAGACGTGTGTACAGACCGACAGAAAAGTTTTTTTCAACACAACTTTAACAGGTTAGTTCCCTTCTGGTAAATAGACTTTAACGAGTTAGTTCCCTTCTGCTAAATTTACTTTAACAGGTAAGTTCACTTCTGGCAAGTCTACATCAGCAAGGGATATTTTACTGTGTAACAATTTCAAACCAACATGTCCCTCTAAAATTTAGAGTATAAATCCCGTATTTATTTTTAAAATGTTTAAAGTCATTAAAAAGAAAAAAAACTGTTATTTATATTAGATTGGCTGGTGTCTATTTGCTTCACAACAAGTGTCTATTTGATTCACAACAAGTGTCTATTTGCTTCACAACAATTGTCTATTTGTTTCATAACCGTTCTCAATTGGTTTCGTAATAGGTGTATTTTTTTTCCATGACTCATTCTACTTGTCTTATGCCAACTGGCGGTTTTTCTTGATAGTTTTCGGTATTAGTATTTATTCCCGCACAAATTTCTACTTAATGCAGTGGTTCTCAACCTTCCTGGTGCCGCGACCCTCTACTACAGTTTCTCGTGTCGTGGCGACCCCCAGCCACACAATTATTTTCATTGTTACTTCATAGCTGTAAGGATATGTGTTTTCAGATGGTCTTAGGTGACCCCTGGAAAAGGGTCCCGCGACCCCCAAAGGGGTCGCGACCCACAGGTTGAGAACCGCTGACTTAATGCATGCATTTGCATTTTAACTAGACTAACTTCCACATATTTTTTACAAGAAGGGGCGCAGCCGTCTGTGGTATTTACTCTAACGGGACGTGAAGTTGGCAACATAAATCAATACTCAACACAATACTCTTATGTTAAGAGCAAAGCTGTCACCTTAGGACACCATGCGCAGGAAATACGTTCATTGTTTGTGCATCAATGAAAACGTACATCAATCGTTCACGGCCGATAAAGGCGCAGGGCCCAATTTTAAAATAATAATAAGACGTCTTATATAGCGCGGTACCCCAGCCTAGGGCTGGGCTCACCGCGCTGTACATAAAATTTTTTTCAAAAGAGACACAATTATGACATTAAAATAAAATACATTTATGAAATGTGTATTGCTCCTGTTAGGAAGAACAAGAACGTGAATCTCCGGATCCTGGAATTATTTCTAGCGGCGCGAAATGAGTTTCTTTAAACCTACACAGTCTCAGGAACACATCTATCAAACAAATTTGTCCCCTGAGGACTCAGCACTTATGAGTCGAGACATCCAATTAATTGTTACGATGATAGCCGTTGACCGTGTCAATTAAAGTATCACAATTTTTTTTTTCAATTTATTCTAGCTTGAAATTAGAAACACTTTTATCCAGTGAGTGTACGTAATGCAGGGGGGGGGGGAAAGGGCGTCTCTCCCCCCACCCCAACGAGGGGGGGAATCCAATCTCGTTCCACACCCCACACCCCCCTTCCCCCTCTCAGGAACACATCTATCAAACAAATTTGTCCCCTGAGGACTCAGCACTTATGAGTCGAGACATCCAATTAATTGTTACGATGATAGCCGTTGACCGTGTCAATTAAAGTATCACAATTTTTTTTTCAATTTATTCTAGCTTGAAATTAGAAACACTTTTATCCAGTGAGTGTACGTAATGCAGGGGGGGGGGGAAAGGGCGTCTCTCCCCCCACCCCAACGAGTGGTGGAATCCAATCTCGTTCCACACCCCACACCCCCCTTCCCCCAGCAGACCTTGGACTTGGTAAATTCTGTGTGTATGACAGGCCACTAATGGTATAGGTATTTAATCCAGGGGACTTATTATGAATATAAGCCATTTTATAAAAAGTAAATTGAAAAAATTGATAGAACAGTGTTGATTATTTCATAATAATATTGATGACAAACTACAACAATTTCGCTAATAACACAATATTTTTTTTTCAAATGTTTTTTCCCCAGCAGATTATACTTATCAAATCTAGTGATTATTAAAAAAGTTAATTATTAGTAGTCCTATTATTTTAATTTTAGTTTATATCCTTAAAAGTATTCTATACTCGAGGGTTGGAGATCATATCCCAGCCGAAGTCAGGCAATTCAAATGAACTTTTCTGTTTTGCTCCTAGTTTTTGCCCCCCTCCCTCCCCCCCACCCCCAAAAGCACAAAATAAAATAAATACATATGTAATTTTGTTTAAAATTCGGTTATTTCCAAATGTGTTCTTTCCCACATTACTTGATGTTACCTGGAGGAATTCAAAAGCAGGTTGGGGAAGGGTATGTTCTTTCACCGTCCCCTAAACTCAGAAAAGAGGCAACTGCTTTCTTCATCCACCCCCCGCCTCCCCCCCCCCCCTGAGTATACGCCCTTGACATAATGTAAACATGATGGGTCAAGGTACTTCCAGCGATAGCTGAATATCTCATAATTGAATCATTTAAAACTGAGCAACAAGCTTTTCACAACAAAACAAAAAAATAATTCAAAAGCTAGGACACTGCATTCTCTGCGCTCTTTTTACAGAAGATAACATGATCTGCAGATCGGGTCTTTACTTATAAATAAATTGAGGCATTCTGTTTACATTTTTCAAAACTATTTATTTCTCTAGAGTTATCTTCCGTAAGATCCACCGTGTTGGCTGTACCGGTCACCTTGATGGACATAGCCGCTGGGTGGGTTGACACGATAGTTGGTACCGTAATCGCTTCGTCCAGATCTGTAGTAGTCATCATTGTATCGAGCATTGTAGTTGTTACCGAATCGGTTGTAATCGTTGTTGCGATATCTGGATTCATAGCGGGGGGAGTGTTGGCCGTCTGACGTAGCTGAGAATTTAACACACACGCAAAAGAAATCACTAGGTTTGTTTACATGTAAATATAGCCTTCTTTTTTAACGAGACAAAAATAGAAAAAGTATTATTTCATTCAAGTATACTCAGCAATCAATGATTGCACCATATTCATTTGTGACTTAAGTGTGATGTGGATACTTGCATAGGCACTGGGCTTAGGAATGCGATATGGGGGGGGGGGGCTTACATTAGCATATGGGCTTGGAACGGCTCAGGACTTGTGTTTGACATGGTGGAAAAGGGGGGGGGGGGGCATACACTAGCATAGTGGCTTGGACTGGCTCAGGACTTGGGGTTGACATGAGGACTTACACTAGCATGGGGGCTTGGGGTTGCCATGGGGACTTACACTAGCATGGGGGCTTGGACTGGCTTGGGACTTGGGGTTCACGTGGGGGCTTACACAAGCCTAGGGGCTGGGACAGAAATAGGTGCTTCGACTGACATGGGGTTCTTGGGTCTAACATAAGGTCCCTGGGTTGGCATAGGACTTTGGACTGGCATTGGGGCGTGAAGATTATTCTTAAAATTACAGTTTTTGGCTTTAAGGAAATTTGACCAAACGTTCTAGGAGCGATCTCAGGTGGTATAACCATTTCAAATTTGGTTGCGATCGATTTTTTGGTTTTTAATTTTTTTCAACAACACTGGTAAACATATACATACATATATAAATACACACATAAGCACACACTAGCGCACGCACGCAGGTACACGTAGACATATACATACGTACTTACATACAGTCAAACAGTAATGGTTAAGAAATATTTTCTGTAGCCTCGTGTAATCAAAGATACAAAGAAAGCACCCGTGTGTATGTGAAGTAATTACAGCATACACACATCACATAGTTCGTGTATAACATACTTAGATCACTTAGTCGGTGCATAAAATACTTATATGTCATGGTTGGGGTATAAAATACTGACCTGACAGGGTATGGTGTCTAACATATTTACACGAGTTTCTTGACGTATGACGTACTTACATGACGTGGTTGGTGTCACGTGACCGGTATTGTTCGTCACCTAATCCCCCGCTGACAAGTAGCAGGCAGACAAGGGAGACAAGTTGCGACATTGATGTGTTCATCTGGAATCTTAAGTAGATAAAAAAAAATGCCTATCAAACTATAGTAATACTACTTTTTATAATGAATTCAAGTTTTATGGATGACAAGAAGAGATGTTTTATTTTTATTTTTTCAAATATTAATATTTTTAAGGTAATTAAAAAAAAAAATAATTCTTTATTTTTAGATGGACGCATTTTCAATATAAAAGTTTAAACGAATTTTGGCGGCATTGTTTCAAAGCATTTCTATTTCACGAATTTGGCATTTTTCTTTTCCATAACCTTGTTGGAAATGGGTGTAACAATGGTTCACAATTAAACAGTAAAGCAACAGTTTGTTTCTTCAAATAACTCCTTTATACAGACCACCCTGATAATTAAAGACAACTAGATAGAGCCCGCCAAACATTGGCGGCGTGAACTTCCCATCTAGTAAAGTTACTTGACAAAACATGAACTCAAGTAACGCACATTTAAGAATCCCAATATTTGCTACACCCCTTCCCCCATGATGCGTCACTGCACACTTTAGATTTCACGCCCATGAACTATATTTATATTCTCATGTCCCAACCACTTTTAAACCGAATATTTTTTTACCCAATACTTAAATTAAGACAATTCATTTCCGAAAAGAAAATATTACGCACCAAACGCAATTGCGTTATTAAAACTATATAATATATATATCATTTAGCGTAGTTATCGGGAATTATATTTTGCGCGCTAGTGAACTCATAATTTAACCACACTTTGGCGTATCTATATATAGCCTGCATGGTTTTGTTTCACCTTTGCTGGCGAATTATATATAGAGGTAATTGATGGACTGCATTCAAGTTGTGTAAAAGCGTGGATGAATTTTCATATATTTGTATTTACAACAGAGCTCACAACTGTTAACCTGGTGCGTAGTAAAATGACCCACGGCTTAAAAAATGTGAAAGCCCTATTTTAAACTTTAAAAAGATAATGTGCAAAGCTTGAATGTGAAGAAATACATCTAGTGTTTCAATCTGATTTTATGTATGGATAATTGAAATGAGTGAATAAACAAAAAAATTCTTTAAATCAATAAGGCTTGTCATTTAATGGCGAAAATCTTTTAATAGAACATGTGTGGATACAGTCGGGCCAATCTCATTGAGAAAACATCCTGGTATTCCGTTTGGCCAGCAGTCTTTCAACGGCTGGTCGGTACCTCTACGTTGATGTGAGTCCTAACCTAGACACAAATCGCGTGTACAACTTTAATTTGCGAAAGATTTTACAAACGAATGGTTACCGCTACACATACGCGTAAATGCAGTGTTAGAAACTACGTTTTACAGCGATGTGGACTTTTTCCGGGAGTACAAACCCTACTGAAGTAAAAACCCTAGGGCAATTGTTAAGACTAAACTTACAACTGAACACAACTGTAAGTGAACACCAGGAGTTATAAGTTAAAAATCGACCGGCACATTCTTACTTTTTCGAGCCTGCTGAAATGGTCAGACAGTTTGTATCAGGTTAATAGTTGGTCACCTGCCTGGTCTGAAATAGTCCCCAGAGACGGTCACCAACCCAATGCTATTTATAGTGGTGGTAGACTGCCTTGACGTCACGATTTCAGTCTTGATGACATAGACAGGTATCAAACAGCAGACGGCCTGTAGATTTATCGCAATGCCTCAATGTCACTACCGACTGCCAGCCGCTTTCAACGGTTCTATTTAAAAAAAAGTGATCATGGCCCCTTATGTGTTTATGTATTCTCTTGCTGGCTACACACGCTGGCGAGATAAATTCACACAAAGCTCACACAAACTGTTTTCCTCAAGTACAAACATCAAGAACATTTCTCCACAGGGCACCTAATATATTTTTTTTTTTTTTTTTTTTTTTTTTTTAAAAAATTTTTTTGTGAAATAAAATTTTTTTTTTTTTTTTTTTTTTTTTTTATTTAAAAAATGTTCTTTGGAAGATAATACATTGTTATGTCGTTCAACTAATCGGTTAAGTAATTATTGAAGGGACTGTTGCTTGGCAGTCGTTTTGTCCCAGTTGCTATGTGACTTATTCACAAAGTAGTAGCCACTTTTAAAAAAACAAAAACCTATTAGATGGGCGTCTTAGTCTTATGCCGTCCCCGGGATGGCAAGGGGTGTGTTAATGACGTTAAAATATATCTATCCCAGTTCAAATAAACTCATGTTGGTGGTGCCGTGAGAGCAACACCGCCAACCGGCCGGGTGTCCCTCGGTCAGAGGCGCCCCACTTGCTTGCCTGGTCGAATGGACGGCGGGTGAGGGCTTTCCCGGTGCCGGAGCGCTCCAGCGTGCCGCTTCGCGGCCCTGTTAGCTTTAGTTGGGTCGGGGAGGAGGAGGGGGGGTCATGTTGGGTAGCCCTAAATTACTCTGCTTCGATGGTCTACTGTTTTTTATGATGAGATTAGTTGAGATTAGTCGTAAGTAAATTAGATTACAACCCAAAAGGACCCACACACAAAAAAACAACAACACCCACCACTGGGGCAATATGGCATCCATCGTTTGGTCAGTAGGGCATTTACCACTTTGGGAACAGGTCATCGACCACTAACTTCGCAGTTCAAACAGTAGAAGTGACTGACTTCTTAAGTAATGCAGTAACGGTCGCCAACTTCGTTGCCTGTCATCCCACTTCATTGATGACATGACTACCGGATGATTGGTAGACGAGGAGACAAGCCGTAGTGTATTGGTGGTTGATTGATCGATTGGTAAGAACTTGTTTGTTTTTTTTTGGTGAAGTTTCAGTTTGTCTCATTTCTCACAATAGATGAATATTGTAGTTGTATATGTGTATTTGGGTTTAGTGCCGTCCGGGGCGGACCTAGACATTTGCCGCCCGTCTTCCACGAAAAAAAAACTCTGCAGTTGACCGAAAATGCCACCCCCTCCATATAAAGAAAAAGTGCCGCCAATGGGTGGACCTCTCCCAACGCATCCCCTTCCTACGCCGATGTATGGTAGATAAATAGGGATGGTGTGTACATAAGTGTGGTAGGTGTCCGTTCAATTTGTTGCTATTGGTCTTCACCTAAACATGACAGCAACTCAAAAAAATTTTTTATAGAAATACCTGCATGTGAATGGGTTGAAGATTTTTTGGAGTTAGATTCGAGTTGCTAGTGTTTAATTTTTAAAAAACGCCTAAAAATTATTTTCTTTTAGGATAACTCATTGCTATGAATATTTGTCTGCATGTATGTGAATGCACGTGATTTATCCTTTATTGAGAAGCGGTTATGTAAATGGGTCAACGGCTGACTAAAACACGTTTCATATGTCCCTCTATTTCCCCTTCAAAAATACATTTAATTTTCACTGCATACCCAAAAACGTCACACATACACAGTACATGGCAACAGCTACACACGTAATCTCCACACCAAACAAAAAAAACAAGCCAACGATTGAACACAAGATTAACATTCCTCCCTTGAAAAACAGGAAACCTGGATTAGAGGCGCCTTGATGGTGGGCGATGGGGCAAAAAATTTGATAGAATATGTTGTCATCGCCAACGAGTCTATGTGGCAATTTTCAGCCTGATAGGATGACGGGAAGTGGGTCAATTAGCAGTTCGAAGATTTTGCAAAACCTCGATGAACAAAGAAAAGCGAATTTAATATTACGAATTTTAATAAATCTCTACATCTTATAATGAAAACATATAAATGACCTTATTTATCACCATTTTTTAGCACTCTCATATTCAGAGATCACCAATCTCCTGTCACCCTCACATTCGGAGGCCACGTTTTTAATTATTTGTCACCTTCCCCTTCAGTGCCTACCAAACTCCTGGCTCCCCCTCAATTCAGTGCCCACCAATCTCCTGGCTCCCCTTCACCTTCAGTGCCCACCAATCTCCTGCCCCCCCCCTCCCCTTCAATGTCCAACATTCACCTGTCATGCTCCCATTCAGAGGTCATTGTTTCCCACTTTCCCTCACTTCGCTAATTCTCGTGTATTTGGGTCCGACGGTACAATGTTACCGGACGGCGTGTCTGACCTACTTTTACTTGTACACTTCAACCAGCTTAGGCTCATTTGAACGTTAAAAAACAACGAATTCACCTGCCCGTTTTTGTCAACATAAACCGCAAACTTGGAGCATGGAAAGTTTTTTTTTTTTTAAAGTTTTACTATTTAAAAGAAGTTTACATTTCATGTTTTATCGCAGTGAGAAGTTTAGGTTGGATAACCAACACACTTTATTTTACATAAAAACGGGTGGAAAAAAAAAGTTTAACATAAAGCTATTTTAAGGTAAACACTGTATAGATTAGAAGCTACTACATTCATTTAGAACTTCTTCTTCTTCTTGTAAATTTTAAGGGCCGACGATCAATGTATTGATCATTCTGGATCCTTCATAAATAATTCAAAAATATATTCAAATCTGATTTCATAATATTTGAGAAAAATCTTAGGGACTTATGACATAAGAAACATGAGGAGGATATTTATATAACCGTAAAATCCTTATTAAAAATCAAAAGTTCTACAATAAGGTTAGACATTTCTAGAAAGTTTTTTAAAAGAAGTATTTACCGATCCCGAAGTTATTTCCAGGAAAGTAAAATATCCATAAACTTGAAGAAAGCAATGACATTTTCCTAATCTTTATACCTACGTGGAACTATATAGAACTTTGGTTACCGGAAATTTGATCGAAAGAAATTTCGTCGACGGAAAATTGATCGAAAGGAAATTAGGTCGAATCATTTTTTTTTTCAGCTCACACGTTAAAATTTTCGTCAAATTTCTTTTTGAACGCACTATATAATATGGTAAAACAAAATAATGCATCCACAGCGATATTTGAAGCAAAATTTTAACGTGTGAACTTAAAAAAACAATTAAAAATGTCCGTTCGATCAACTTTCCGTCGACAACATTTCTTTCGATCAAATTTCCGGATACGTACAAATTTGTTTGAAAATGTATAAAAAAAAATTTTTTTTTAAAGTTTCATTATTTCAACTCCGAAACACCTGAAACAAAATGACCGGGTCAAGTTTGGTTGCAAACCATTTTGTTTGTTGTTGGGTTTTGTGTGGTCAATCGACCAATGAACAAGCAAACTGAGTCGCACGGAACTTTATGTAGCAGATAGTAGAGGAATAAGGGCAAAATTAGGTGGTGGTTTGTTTTTTTTTCAATTGTTGTTGTTTTTTTATCGCAGCGTCTGTGTAAAAGTGCTGACAAGTGTTTAAAGACAATGTTTTGAGTGAAAGTCATGACAACAGTTTTAAGACAGTGTTTTGTGTTAAATTGATGACCACTGTTAAACGACTGACTTTGGTGGACACTTAGTTTTAAATAGATTGAGATCAAAACTTTTAACAATTTTTTTTTGGTTACTGCACGAGACGCATGGTGACGTCATTCGGTTGACAGCCGGCTCTTTCAATGTTCTCTTTCATATTAAAACTGTTTTGTTTTTTTGAGTATTTGGTAAGAAGTACGCTAACAGAATCCTCCATTCCGTTTAATAATATGAAAGTGATCGCAGTATTTACTCTTGTCTAAACCGTAAGAGTATTCACTAAATAGAGAAAAATATAGACATCTCTTTGGTTGACAGGAAAAATGGCATGGTAAAACAGTTTCATTTCTATCAAAGTTAAATATTAAAGAATATTGACAAGTGGACGGCCATTTTTTTTCACAGAATGGCCATTATTTCAAACCAAGGTTAAAATAGAATTCAAGGCGGTTATTCGAGCAAAGTAAAACCAAATATCGTTTGCAAGGTCAATATATTTCACAGAGGAATGTTGTAGAAACGGAAGTAAGTTTAAGCGCGGAAGTTAGTTCGGATGGAAATTTTTTAAATACTTTTTAGAGCTTTTATATGGAATGTGTGAGAAAAGGGAAAAAGTTAACTTTTTTTTCTTTTTTTTTTTTTTTATAATACAAATCGACTTTTCAAGCTAAGTTCCATCCAAACGCATACATAATTATGTTTCAAACGAATTGGTTTGGTACAAACTTCCGGATAAGAGCAAAATGCATTAGAAGTGCAAAAGACGAATTTATCTGCTACCTGTTACCTGTGTATTCAACTTTCTCCACTTAACTGTGCTATATATCTGACGTAACTACCTTAAAAAGTTGGGGATTTGTAGGAATTTAGCCTCGCTTTAAGGAAGTTAACTTCTAAAATAAATTTAGAATTTTCTAGTACAGATGAAAACTTCTACGTCCAGGTCAAGGGACAGGTGAAGCTTGTCGGATCACGTGACAGTGCCATGACCTTCTCACCTACCCCCTCCCGCCAGATCCAGCCCTCGTCCGCAACTCACAACTGTTTAGAATGGTCTGGAAAGTAAATCGCTATTTAAGCACTGGGCCCTCAAAATAGTTTCACTTGATGTCTTGGCCCGAAGCAGTGTTTCCCAAACGTTTGACTTCTGTGTCCCCCCTGTCTATAATTTTCGAAAAAACACACAGAATCCCTCGTTAAAAAATGCATATACTTTAATAACAATAAAGAAATATTTATTTTTTTCCTTTGCAGCGTGTATCCCTACCAAACTCTTTCCAGGGGTACGCGTACGACACTTTGAGGAACACTGGCCTTAATTATAGCCCCCAGTGTTGTGACATATTAGCTTCTATAAAAACATACATCTTAAAGGGCAGTTGTACTTAACCTACTTTCAGTGACCTTGACCTGTAGGTGGCCGAGACCTGAGTTATATAAACAGTGACACTCTATAGCAATTAGCCTATTTCTCGTTAAGTGACCACATTTGATTTGATATCCTCGCATCCTCTTGTTTGTCGTTATTTCTTTGCATGAAAGGTGAACACATTTTGAAATTGGAACATTCGAAACAAATGAAGTCTAAAAAAATTAATAAATACGTTTTGGCGGAAATATAAGCTTGGCTTCCCCCCTAACGTTAGCGGAGTATACATAAATATATCTATATATATATACTTTTTTTGTCCGCTGCAATGGGACGATGGTGTAGAGTTCGCAGGACGAGATCCACAAGGCCTGGGATTATTCTTCTACGATCATAAGCTGGTTCCCAACAGGAAATCGCCGTCTCTCCACGCCGCTGGATAACCCAGGGGAACACCATGTGGATGATACAGCTTGGTACCAGGGGCGTGGCAGGAGTTGTCGGGGGGTTTCATTGTACAAATTTTATCCCCCCTACGGGACTCCATCTCCGGGTTGGAATTCAGAGTTTCGTTCTCTTAGATGAGTTGCCATCCAAGGTTGATGAGTTGCCATCCAAGGTTGATGAGTTTCCATCCAAGGTTGATGAGTTTCCATCCAAGGTTGATGAGTTGCCATCCAAGGTTAACGATTCCCATCCCCCTTAGGGGCTGGTGATGTTTTTTGCTTGATTTGGCTTTGCTGGGGTCTGCACTCCAGGCCATCAACCTGAGATTTGCTCAGTTTAGACCACCATTTTTGTATAATATTTTTTTTATAACTTCTTTGAATGTGTAATGGTTGTGTTGTAGATTCACTACTCATGAGGAAACACTTGAAACGTATTTGTGTGTTGTTTAGTTTTGAATGTGCCGTCTATTTTCTAATTTATTGCCGTCAAGCCCGCCCCAACAACAGAGAATGGAAAAAATGGGTCAAACGCCTGTAAGACAAGACAGTCACTATCCGTTCTATGCGTTTTAGAAATCTATTTATTTTCAAATTTCTAAGAACACTTTTGAAGAAGTTCTAAGGAAATTATTACTATTAGTTTGGTAAATATGTGACCAAAAAAAAAATAAAATCGAATTGCTCCAATTAAAATTATTTATAGATTAGACCAGGTCGGGGCCATGTGAAAGGGGGCGGGTCAAGATGGCTGCCATTCCGGGTCCCAACTTCGGAGACTCCAAAGTCGTTAATTGTCCCTATATATTTGGTGGCTTATCGTAGGTATCCATGGTATATAGAGCTATATGCACTAGCGTAGAAATGTTCTGCACCGGGCTCCAAGAACAAGGGGCACCAAAATAGTAAATTATATATATATATATATTATATATATATATACTAGCCTTTATAATACCAATATAATAAATGAATAATTGGTGAAGCGGTGGCTAGAGTGGTAGTAGCGATAAAATTACTTATGTCTCCTTCCCTTATAACATGTTACATGCAACTCCTTACTTAAAACGATGTCAATTTTACGCTTTTAAGCATCACGGGGCGTCATTAAGGTGGGTATCACCCTTTGCGGTAAGCTCATGGCGTCAGCCTCCACTCTTTCCATACTCCTCACCCCCGTCAGAGGCCAGCACGGGGCAATTTCTTCAACCAGGCCATACTGAAGGGCGTTGAGTGTTGTTTTAGGTACCGATGTCAAAAATGCAACCAGTGTTTATGTTTTTTTGAAACACAAGACTTAATACTTAATACTTTACTGTCATTGTCTTCAAGCATGCAAACAACTTCAGCAAAAACAACATTCGTCACCATCATCGCTTCCAGTTAATCCATGGTAGATCGTAAAAAAATGTCTTTATAAATTTAATTTTTTGAAAATCTCGCATCACATGAAGCCACAATTACACAGATCGTGAAATTTATTAATGCAAGCTTATTGAGAGGATTGTGAGAGATTCTGGGACATTACATTCAGCTATGAATTTTTAAAAAAAAACATCAACAATTGACCAATCTTTAGCTTCGTCGAGATAAATACCTCCTGCCTTCGGGTGCCTTAACAGACTTGGTATTTCAAATAAAAGTTCACTTCCAGATAACTCATCATAGTCAATTTGGGAATGACACCAACAACTATTCTCAGGTCACAAATAGCAGACTTTTGGCTTCAACAGACATATCTGTTACATCTTGATGGCTCCTTGTCTGATCTTGAGTTCAGAATGAGAGTGATCAATTACCGCCCTGTCGTTCTCTTCCGGCAAAATAAGTATGATGTATTTTGATTGCACCCCTCTCATAAATGTAACCCCTCCAGATTTCCCCATGAAGCTCCTCCGTCTCTGTTGGCACACTGTTCTGGTGAGTCTCTGTTATGGTGGTATCATGTTCTGTTGGCAACATATGCACATCTGTTTGGTGAATCCTTTTCAAATTTGCATATTCCATTTTTTAGTCATAGCCTCATTAGGGTGTCACCCGGTGCGGTCAGCGCCCCCAGCACCCCCCCCCCTTAATGTTCAACATTACTCTTCGCTAAATAATCAGCATTCTCCCCGAAATAAAGATTCGCAGCATTTTTACTTTTGTCAAAAAAAATGAACAAACCGTGATGACTGCAAATGAGATCAGTATGGGTGAACTTTCAAGTTATGTGGATGGCCAGACCTGCAACCCGCCTCAAATCCTTAACGACAGTTCGTGTCCTAGACATTCGAATGGCGTTAAGTAAGGAGTTGTAAATGATAAGAAGATGTGACAGATCAATGACAGGTAGGTGTGGCACATAAATGGCAGATATAAATGAAGTACAAAAATAACAGGTATTTATAACACGTGAATGAATGGAGCGTTAACAGCTGAAACGATTTTTGTTTTCAACTCTGCATCTTAAGAAGTGTTTAAGAAAGTTGAGCTGGCTACATCAAATTAATTGAAACAAATATTAAATTATTGTTATTTTGTTTAGTTCACTCTTGTGTCGTTTACAAATTCTAGAAACTATCAGACGTTTTGTGGGCTCGGCTTTATTAAGTAGGCATTATTTGGATTGGTCTGGTTGTAATCACGTGACTGTGTTATTTTTGTAGACTGCTAACCCTTGCCCTGACAGGTTTAACTTTGTTTCGTCACGCTAGAAATCTTAAGCAAAGAATCTTTATTTTTAGTTGTCTGAAATTTATTTATTTTTTATTCCCAAAATCTCTCAAACATCTTCTCATGTCCCTTATCACTGGTATGTTCCTGTTTCATACAATTCCAGCGGTCGGTATCCTTACAGTTATTGTTTGAGGATTTTAAGCACATCTTGGGTAGTGTTTCCAAAAATATCGATTACCATTTTAAAGAAGTTTTACAAATCGAAGCGTATCTAGGAGGAACTCATTCCAAGAAATATGAGCTTAGAATCAAATAAAATGAACATTTTACTGGCCCTTGAGATTATTTTAAAATATGGATTGGATAAAATGATGAGACACAAGTATAAACACAAGAAGAACTAAACAGAAGACAACGACATCGAACTTAATGTACTGACAAGTTCCAAGACGAAAAAAAAAAGTAATTAACTAAATTATGACCACAGCATTTTATTTCGCTATAGCCAACATTGTTATAGTTATTAATTAACCAAGGCCCCCAAGTCCACCAAGTCCGCCAAGGCCCCCAAGGCCGCCAAGGCCGCCAAGCCCACCAAGGCCGCCAAGCCCACCGAGGCCACCAAGGCCACCAAGGCCAGTGAGTAGTCCATCGAGTCCTCCGCCGAGTCCAATCAGTACTCCACCAAGTCCGTCAAAGACTGCATCGACGCCCAGTCCTCCCAGTCCACCCAGTCCAGCCAATCCGCCCAGTCCACCCAGTCCACCAACTCCATCCAAGGCCGCACTGACACCCAACGCTCCACCGAGTCCACCAAGCGATCCCAGACCACCCAAGCTGCCGCCTCGTCCACCCCAGATCCGACCTCTGCCCCCCCAGTTTCCGAAGCGAGGCCCGCCTGGGATTCCCGAAAGCCCGTAGCCCCTGTGGAGAGAGAGAGAGAAAAAAACACCTTTGTAATGAAAAGACGACCAATGATCGTTAGTTGTTACTAAGTTAACTCCTTTGTGTGTATCAAATTTAACACTTGCTATTACACGTCTATCATTTTAATTCAGCGGTTCTCAAACCTTTCCAACATGAACGGTTTCAATCACTTGGAACAAACGACTGAAACTTATTCGAACAATATCAGACTGTCGGTTCATTGAACCCAAGAAATCATTTTACGACACCTCTTAGGGTCGCATCCCATAGGTGATGTTTCAACACAGCAGAGGCTTCATAGAATTTATAAGATATCTTCTTTCAAAACATGTCAGAATTTGCTTATTCCAGATGTACTTCAAACATTCCATCTACTGCGTTCGGACAACATACGTGTCTTAAATGTGTAGGTCTGTATGTGTGTGTCTGTATGTGTGTTCTGTATGTATATGTCTGTGTGTGTTTGTCTGTATGTGTGTGTCTGCATGAGTGTAGGCTTTGGTTTCATTTGGCTTAAGAGCACCTGTCGAAATGTAACATCTCAACATCTTACTAAGGATCCCTTTAATTACGATAAATAGATCAGACTCCAAGTTTGCTGACATGTTTCCAGCCTGGGGGTGCTGTCAACGAGTGGAAGGGTGACTATACAAACAGAGGAGCCCTTGGCTTTTAAATTCTAATAAGTTTATTTGTATTTTTTTTTAAATTCATTTCTAAATTACTATTTAACTTTATAAAATATCATCTCCTAAATTCTACAATTTTCTTTATAAAAAAATAAAAAAATTAGAAGTCCATTTTCCTAATTTTTTAAAATAAACTCTTATTCTTGCAAAGGATTGCGTAACTCTATCAAACAATTGATAGGATGTGAAGAATATAGAAAATGTTGGGGAGCCCTGATGTATTGTTATAAATTTGATATTTTGTACATAGCACGCTTAAAAGGAGAATTCATGTTAAGGTGACTTCTGGACTAACCAAAAAAAAAAAAAACAACCCCACCTGTAATTTTGAATTGTCATTGAAACAAAGATTGCGACACAAGACATCATTTCCGACAGTGCAGTAAATGGTTTTGGGGAAGGGGGGGGGGGGTGTGGTGTAAATTTGGTTTTAAAAAATTGACAGCCCTCTACTTGAAATTCTCGTAAAGATGAGTGATTTGATTAGTTTGTGGGCATAAGTTCAGGAAATATTAATTCAAGTGAACTGGAGCGCAGTGAAAGTAAATCCAAACACAACTCCGAAAAATGAATGTTGTTGTGGAGACAAGATTTAAACTGTTGAGAAACACATTGAACATTTTTTCCCCTGTTCTATTTTCACTTTTTTTTTCTGCGTCCGATTCAAAGAAGTTTTAAAAAAAAAAAAAAAAAGCAGGAGGCGACATCTGATTCCTACTCCCACTTTTGTTTTTATCTGACCACACATTCCTAATGTTCTGCTCTCTTGCAAGCTCCTTTTATCCTCCTTTGTGTACAATTATTTTTTTTTCTCGTATAAGCATGCTTGGCGCCAGCTGAGGTTTTCTTAAAGGAAGATGCTCAATTGCTAAGAGTTTTCCGTAAACTGTCCAGGTCGCGGGCTTCGTTAAAACCTCTTCTTCCCCCCCAGGTACCCTTTTAATTAAGAATCCATATTTTTTAACAAAATGTTTCTTACCCGGCTAAGCCGACATCACCAGCAGCAAAGCAGCTGGCCATCAGCAGGCTGGCTACAACGGCGAGAGAAACAAGACTGCACGTCATGGTGGGGAGCTTTCTTTAGGCTGCAACCAAATATTTTAAAAAAAAATATTATTACATATAAGTTTATAATTGAATAATATATTATAGAATAATAATAACACTAAGTTAAATTTACTTGATATGCAAGTACATTTTTAACGTGACCAATGTGAAGGAAATGCTGAACCAATTCCGTTTTGTAAAAAAACCACATGCTTAACATTAAATGTTAGATAGTATTATATGAGGTCATGTTTATAGTGTTCAGGTAAGATAAGGTTGTCCTGAATTGGTCGATCTTAAATGTATTTTAGTATCTCTGGACAAATGTCTTTAACATCTCTGAACAAATGTCTTTAGTATCTCTGGACAAACGTCTTTAGCATCTCTGGACACATGTCTTTAGCATCTCTGGACAAACGTCTTTAGCATCTCTGGACACATGTCTTTAGCATCTCTGGACAAACGTCTTTAACATCTTTGAACAAATGTCTTTAGCATCTCTGGACACATGTCTTTAGCATCTCTGGACACATGTCTTTAGTATCTCTGGACAAACGTCTTTAGCATCTCTGGATCAATGTCGTTATTATCTCTGAACAAATGTCTTTAGCATCTCTGGATCAATGTCGTTATTATCTCTGAACAAATGTCTTTAGCATCTCTGGACAGATTAATGTCTCCAGTGTCTCTGGACATTTTTTAAAATGTTTCCTGACAGTTGCATCAATCGTGATTTTGACATTAAGAATTCAAGTAGTATGACGAGGTCAATAGGGAAAATGACTAACTTAGATTAGACTCTGATGGTCTTCTTTCCAGTCTTACCTTCCCGTTTCAGGCAGGAACAAATATCGTGTACGGTTCGGCTGGTTAGGATGGCGGTGGTCTTACTGCCAACTTGCAGACCGACACTATTTATAGCAACCGAGGGGAACCTTGTGTAAGAGGTTGAGATTTACCAGCGGACAGGTTGTCATAGAAATTTCCGCATGACCCGGGACAGTCCACCGCACCCCTTCCCCGTCCCCTGTGGAAACCCTTTTTTTTTGAGGTCACGGCTTTGTTTTGATTTATTCTGTCCGAAACACGGCGCACAGAATGTCTTTTATAAGGCTAATGTTTTCAACCGTCGTGCCTCGTCATGGCCTGGATTGTACTGGAAGCTTCTAGAGAGATTCTCCGCACTCTTGTGGTCTATATATCTTGAGTACAAATGTGGTTCAGAGAAAACTGGTTTAATTTAGGAGCTTTTCCTACAGTTTTCATTTTTCTGTCTTACATAACTTTCCTAATGCTATTTTAACAATTTCTAATACAGACATTTATATAATTTACCTTAATGGGAAGACTAGATAACTCTTGGTATATGCCATATAATCCATTTTATAAGCATGTGATACTTCAATTTAGGACTAAAGACTACAAAAAAAAAAACTTCATTTAAAGTTTATGTTTAATAAGTTTATAGGCATTGCCAGTTCAATTATGGACTATACTTCCTTTATTTAGTATTCTTTATTCGCTTGTTGGCTAAGTACAACATAGGTTCTGAAAATGTTGTTTCTTTGTGTTATAGTCATTTTTTGTGTGTGTTTGTTTCATTTTGGAAACAATTTCGGCTTATATTCTGTGTGTGTGTTGGGGGGGGGAGGGGGGGAGATTTGAGGGCCTTCCATAAAGTACGTTACGCTTAAGAAAGGGGGTGGGGGGAGGACTAAGAGGGTGTGACAGTTTGTGACACGGGGAAAGTGGGGGATAAATGATGTGTAACGTTACACATTTATATATCTTTATAATAGATGTGAAAGCTGACATTGACAGTGAAGTTAAACTTTCTGTCGTACTGGACGTATTCTGACAGAACTTAGTAGCGTCTTTTATTATGAGTGAACTGCGCTTTAGAATGAATTTTAATCATTTATAATTATATTGAACACAATTTTTTTTTAAATTCTGGAATTGGGGCGTACCGTATTTTCCGGCGTTTAAGACGACTGGGCGTATAAGACGACCCCCCTAGTTTTCCTGTTAAAATATAGGGTTTGAGCCATACTCGCCGTATAAGACGACCCCCTAGTTTTCCTGTAAAAAATAGGGTTTAATTAAGCCATATTCGCTGTATGAGACGACCGCCTAGTTTTCCTGTTAAACTATAGGGTTTAATTAAGCCATACTCGCCGTATAAGACGACCCCCTAGTTTTCCTGTTAAAATATAGGGTTTAATTAAGCCATACTCGCCGTATAAGACGACCCCACTAGTTTTCCTGTTAAAATATAGGGTTTAATTAAGCCATACTCGCCGTATAAGACGACCCCACTAGTTTTCCTGTTAAAATATAGGGTTTAATTAAGCCATACTCGCCGTATAAGACGACCCCCTAGTTTTCCTGTTAAAATATAGGGTTTAATTAAGCCATACTCGCCGTATAAGACGACCCCCTAGTTTTCCTGTTAAAATATAGTGTTTAATTAAGCCATACTCGCCGTATAAGGACTACCCCTCAATCAACGCACACCGAATCAAAATTTAAAAACATCAGATTTGATTTCGATGCCTATGACATGCAGGTACTTAGCAGGACAGCTGTCACTTATAAACATAAGGTTTTTTGTTATCCATCATGTCAACATAAAACAGTGCAGGTGGATGAAACTTTTCCTAAGTCACTTCTAAAGCTGAAATGAAGGATGAGACTCAAGACAATCAACCCATGGGAGCTGTCATGCTTTTTGTTTTCTAAGCTGTCAACCATCCTGGAACTAGAGGGTGCCTGTCCCTGAAGCTTCAGCATGCTGTATACCAGCTTAATAAGACGACGCCCCCCCCCCCCCCGCGTATAAGACGATTCCACGACTTTTGAAAAAGATTTTCATGGGTTGAAAAATTGTCTCATACGCCGGAAAATACGGTGTTTTGGGGAAAGAATAAAAGCGGGGGAGGGGGGATGGGAGAGATTTGCCAGAGATTGTGAAATTCCCACCCCCGCCCCCCCCCCTTTTTTTTTGTACAAACTACTTGAAGAACCTTGTAACATGGCATACTCATGTTAAGAAACATAAACCAAATATCTGTAGTTATGGGTCAATAAATTTGTCAACTAGTCACCTAATCAGCTTTGTCAGCTAGTCACCTAATCAGCTTTGTCAGCTAGTCACCTAATCAGCTTGTCACGTAATCAGCTTTTTCAGCTAGTCACCTAATCAGCTTTGTCAGCTAGTCACCTAATCAGCTTTGTCAGCTAGTCACCTAATCAGCTTTGTCAGCTAGTCACCTAATCAGCTTGTCACCTAATCAGCTTTGTCAGCTAGTCACCTAATCAGCTTTGTCAGCTAGTCACCTAATCAGCTTTGTCAGCTAGTCACCTAATCAGCTTGTCACCTAATCAGTTTTGTCAGCTAGTCACCTAATCAGCTTTGTCAACTAGTCACCTAATCAGCTTTGTCAGCTAGTCACCTAATCAGCTTTTTCAGCTAGTCACCTAATCAGCTTTGTCAGCTAGTCACCTAATCAGCTTTGTCAGCTAGTCACCTAATCAGCTTGTCACGTAATCAGCTTTTTCAGCTAGTCACCTAATCAGCTAGTCAGATAGTCACCTAATGGCTTTGCTGGTGCAAATGGGATCGTCGCGACTAAGAAAAGGGGTTGGGGACCCGTGAGCTAGAGAGTCTTTTAACTGGACGAACTTCACTCACAAGATTCGTTTGAGACACAAGACGAGTATCTGAGAACTAGACGTAAAATAACATGTCATTAATAGTCATGTCATGTGTCATTTGTGCGCATATCAAACTCTGTATTCCAGCGTGTCGGGACGCAGACAACAATGTGTGTCGCAGTGTCGGGGAGACATGGGCGTCGGCGTGTTTTGTCTACAAGTGCGTCAAGATAGAGTCCGCGTCCAGCATCACCTTACAGACGGACGTCCTAGATCAAAGTGAGTTTGGTGACTACACATTCGACATAGATGACTGTAACACTAACTAGATGACTGTAACACTAACTAGATGACTGTAACACTAACTAGATGACTGTAACACTAACTAGATGACTGTAACATTCACTAGTTAGATTCAAAACGAACTAGGCAGCTTTAAACACTGACTAGGTAGCTGTGACATTAATTATATAGCAGCAACACTTAAGTTTCGGAAGGCGTGATACCTGAGCCAGGTGTTGGGACAGGGTCCATGCATGACGGACAGAGAGCTGTAAACGTCACCCCCCCCCCCCAGTTCTGTATGAAATTTACGCCCCCTGCTTCTGATGAAATAAACGCCACAGCCTGTGACCCACACAATGTGCAACCCCCATCCCCTTTCCAGTATAAAAAAAATATACGCTACTGCCTGTGATTAACACAAAAAGTTGTGCTCATCCCTACTCCGTATGAAATATACCCCCCTGCCTATGATTACATATACGCCCCTGTCTCTGACCCACACGATGTTTTACCTCAAGACATACTGATGTTGTTGTTTTTCTTTTTCTTTTCTTGTCCACCTAGAATGTTAGATGTCCACCGGCAACTACTACAACCCTTAGAGAATTGACCCATTTTTTCCACTGGACATGTTGGGGGCCAGACGGTGTGTGTTTCAACACGGGGTGGACAGGATTTGTTTTTATAGGGCGTCGGTGATTGAATTCGCACTTAACTTTCGTTAACTTTCGTTTTGTGAAAATTAATGGAAACAAAAGCATATTCATTTTATCTGAATTTTATTTTCACAGGAAACCAAGATTTTAAAACAGTGAAACGTCTTAAAATAGCACGTTACTTTTTGTAGAGTGGTTTTGTGAAGAGCAATTCTGAAATAATTTTGTGATGTGATTTTGATTAATAAGCTATCGGAAATAAAATCTGCTTTAAACAAAAAAAGAAAAGAAATCCTTTACATTAACTTCGCTTTTGCGTAATGTGTTTGTGTGTTAAAGACAAAATCTTCGGAAGGCTAATAAACTCCCTTCCCGTGATCCTATCGAGCTGAAACTTAACACATAGACTCGTTGGCGATAAAAACCACCGAAAATCTGTTCCCCCCACCCCCATTTTTCTTTTAAGGAAGGGAGACTGTTCATGATTTGTTCAATGGGTGCCTGTTTTTGTGTAGAGATCAACTGTGGAGCAGGCCCTGTGTGCTTTGAATTTTTGGCGTATTTAGGTATTCAGTAATAATAAAATGCATTTTTGAAGGGAAAAATAAAGCAACTATGACACGGGTTTTCGCCAGAATTTCTCCACTTTACACAACCGCTTCTAAATAAATGATAAATCACATAAAAATTGCATTTATGCAAACACAAATGCATATAATAATAATAATAATAATAAAGTTTATTTCAAAAACATGCTTCATCCCCAAAGGCTCGAAGCGCGGTACAAAGTCAACAAAAACCAAATCTATAATTTACCACATTTAAAACAAACGCAACACTACAAAAACTAATTACAAGCATACAATCTCAAAGTCTCTCTAGCCATTTCAACCCTAAGCAACACAGCCAATATGCATTAACTGGAAAATACGGTAGACAATCAATACATCTATGGATTTATACGAAAACCTAATTTAAGGCGTTGTTTAATTACTCCAAATTTTCGTGGGTTTCTTTTTAAGTTATCAAAAATATACGTTATTGGCCACCCAAAAAATAAAACTGAGACGGTTCAATGATCTATATCAGGCCTGCACAACTCAAAACGTAAGGTGGGCCGTAATACTTTATGAAAAACTTGTGCGGGCCAAAAGAAAATAGGGCAGGACTTGTGCGCGCCAAAAGAAAATAATGACCGGGGTGCAAGCTATTAAGAAAATTATAAGCATAGAGAATATTTCGTTACTTCGCGGGCCGCAATCTGGGTGCTGGCGGGCCACATGCGGCCCGCGGGCCGTATATTGTGCAGGTCTGGTCTATAATATAGTCAATGGAAACGAAAAAAAAAAAAACCTTCTCACCGCTTTATTGACAGACACGTTTGGAGAAAGTTTTTGAAAACCATTGAGGACGCATAGGACACAATATTGAAATTGTTTAGCAAGTAACTGAAAGATTACAAAACAGCCCAGGGTACTAAACAGCAGAACAGCGCACTGTCACAAATAGAAACATTGTAACATTGTACCAACGACGTTCATGGAACCAAAAACTCATCACAAGACAGGATGTATGTGATTTTTTTTGATTTTTTTTTTGTGGTTGGGGGGGGGGGGGCTGGGGGGTTGATTAAAAAATTCTTATTAACAAGTTTTAAATGTCTACTAAGTCGACGGGTTTTATTTTCCAAGGGAAAAAACCAGACTTTTAATGTTGTATGTGATTTTTTTTGATTTTTTTTTTGTGGTTGGGGGGGGGGAGCTGGGGGGTTGATTAAAAAATTCTTATTAACAAGTTTTAAATGTCTACTAAGTCGACGGGATTTATTTTCCAAGGGAAACAACCAGACTTTTAATGTTGTCGTTCGTAAGAATTAGAGTAATCCTTGAGCAAAGGAATAAAGAGCGAGAAGAGACATGGGGGAACCTGTGTGGCAGAATTAATAAAAAGCAGACATGGTATGAACACGGACAATTCTGTATAAAAAAAAGGCAAACCAAAGACTTTTCTATCGTTAAAAATGTGTACGATTTCGGAATTAACAAGCAAGTTATTTAAATCCCCTGATTAAGAATGTTGGGGCAAGAAAGTGTGTGGTAAGAAGACTCGCTTCGAAGTCAGTCTGATATCCTCCCTGGAAGTGTTCACCCGGTACCCCAACATGTGGGAGTAGCCTGTTCTAGTCTTCATTTTGCACGAGTCAACAGAGCAGACTGTTCTAGTCTTCATTTTGCACGAGTCAACAGAGCAGACTGTTCAAGTCTTCACTTAGCACAAGTCAACAGAGCAGACTGTTCAAGTCTTCACTTAGCACAAGTCAACAGAGCAGACTGTTCAAGTCTTCACTTAGCACGAGTCAACAGAGCAGACTGTTCAAGTCTTCACTTAGCACAAGTCAACAGAGCAGACTGTTCAAGTCTTCACTTAGCACGAGTCAACAGAGCAGACTGTTCAAGTCTTCACTTAGCACAAGTCAACAGAGCAGACTGTTCAAGTCTTCACTTAGCACAAGTAAACAGAGCAGACGTTACAGTGCTCCCAACAGAGCAGACGTTACAGTGCTTAGTTTGCATTATAAAAAAGTTGCGGTGATCTTTCTGTGGCCTTCGAAAATAAAATCTAAGAAATCGTGGATTTCCCTATTTTTTGTTGTTGTGTTATTGTTTGTTTTTTGTTGTTTTTTTTTTGTGTTCTTTTTTGTGACATAAGGCGTTATTAGAAGTATAAATAGATATAAATAGGCTATTTATTAGCTGTCCGAAATTTCAGGATAAGTATGCAGAGTTTTGGACATAAACGTACCTACTTTCTGTCAACACCCCCTCCCTCCTTTTTTGTTGACCACGTAATACCCACCAGTGCGCAAAATGTAAATTAAAAAATAACAAACGATCGCCTCGGTGCGTACGAAATATATGGATGACGGTAGCCCAACATAAGACTCCTGCTTTCCCAACGTTAACATAATGCAAAAAAAAAAACAATTTTTTTCATCAAATATTCCTTAGCGATTTCTTATAGTTGAGCAATACCCACTTTTCTGATTGCATCATGATATGATATTTGATGATATGATATGTAATAAATGATACATCAACGATTTTCATTTCAAATGGCATTCAACATTTCTCTTTGCTAATGAATGCACTTCCACCAACATTCTTCCATTGTTGCCTCACCAACATTCATGATTTTCTCATCTCATTTTCCTTGAAAGCCATTTATAAAAATTGGTTAAATAAATTTAAATAAAATGTTTTTCTTTTATTTTTTCAACAGTAGTTTTATGATAAATAATATTAGATGCAATTTAACTACATTACATGTCTATATAAATAAAATGTTCAATCTGAAAGAGAATCAAACTTTGCGTCATGACTCTGACTTATGAAACTCGTGAATTTGTATTTACAACAACGTTCTTCGAATTCTGTTATAACGTAGGCAATGAAAGAGATGTGCAAATTGGTTTATTTTTACATTATTTTTTAAAATGTCAAATGACAATATCACAATTTTTTTAAGTCACATAATAATAAATGAAGTACACTTTGGTTCAAAATGAATAAATGGTCTGGAATATTACAGTAACAATAAGACTTCGCATTCAGCACCCTGTACATGTTTGTGATAGTGCAACATAGCTACTTTTTTTTTTAAACCCACCACTCTAAGCCCGATGCAAACATCTCATCAACATGTCCCTGGCTCAGGGTAAGCGGCCAAGCAAATGTCCCATTCAGAAAGACGTCCATTAGATCAAAGGGCAGATAATTCATCATACACAAGCAATAACCCCGCCAAACAATGGCAATGGCGGTGCGCCGCGAGCTTCCCATGCCCTCGGGTTACTTGCCAAAACCTACAGTCAATGAACGCCTTCTAAGAGACTCCCAATCAGTGCTGACTTCAGGGAATTTTACATTTTCGCGCCTATTGAACACGGCGTTTCAGACATACATAAATACACCCAGAGAATTATCACTCGTGATGACATGCTCCAGTGTCCATTACATTCTGGTATGCCCTACAAGTAGTCCATGCAGGCGTATTGAAGAGAGCTGTAAGCATGGGATTTTATTCAAATATCGCTTTTACAAGTTCGTGGTTTTATTCATCCTTAAGCGCATACCCGGGGTTTCTTTCAGCTGTATCTCGGGGGGGGGGGGG